GCGTTAACGCCAGAGGGGAGATGGGGAAGAGTACGTACTGTAACCACAGTCATCTCTCGAGAGGTTCTGTGGCGACACAAGGAAACACTTCAAGACTGTCCGGTTATTTTCCGTGAAGTTTTGGGTATAAAACATGGCCAGGAATTGCACTTTGGAAAATCAACATCCTCGGTTCCTTCGACATGTTGGGCAAAATCGCAATCGCATCTCTCTCTTTCCTGGCTATCGCCAAGGGTCAACAGGTTGGCCGCGAGGTCGCCGAAAACCACCCCCGTCTCCCGTGGCAGCGCTGCACTCGCAACGGTGGATGCCAGACTGTCTCCAACGGTCAGGTCGTCCTCGACGCCAACTGGCGATGGCTCCACGTCACCGACGGCTACACCAACTGCTACACCGGTAACTCCTGGAACAGCTCCGTCTGCTCCGATGGTACCACCTGTGCCCAGCGATGCGCTCTCGAAGGTGCCAACTACCAGCAAACCTATGGAATCACCACCAGCGGCAACTCCCTCACCATGAAGTTCCTCACCCGATCCCAGGGAACCAACGTTGGCGGCCGTGTCTACCTCATGGAGAACGAGAACCGCTACCAGATGTTCAACCTCCTCAACAAGGAGTTCACCTTCGACGTTGACGTCTCCAAGGTTCCTTGCGGTATCAACGGTGCCCTCTACTTCATCCAGATGGACGCCGATGGTGGCATGAGCTCTCAGCCCAACAACAGGGCTGGTGCTAAGTACGGTACCGGCTACTGCGACTCTCAGTGCCCCCGTGACATCAAGTTCATTGACGGCGTGGTATGTTCACATTGAAACCCCTCCCAGTTTGACGTTTTCTAATGCTTTTGTCCAACAGGCCAACAGCGTCGGATGGGAGCCCTCCGAGACCGACTCCAATGCTGGAAGGGGTCGCTACGGCATTTGCTGCGCCGAGATGGATATCTGGGAGGCCAACTCCATCTCCAACGCCTACACCCCTCACCCTTGCCGAACCCAGAACGATGGTGGCTACCAGCGCTGCGAGGGCCGCGACTGCAACCAGCCTCGCTATGAGGGTCTTTGTGATCCTGATGGCTGTGACTACAACCCCTTCCGCATGGGTAACAAGGACTTCTACGGACCCGGCAAGACCATCGACACCAACAGGAAGATGACCGTCGTCACCCAATTCATCACCCACGACAACACCGACACTGGCACCCTCGTCGACATCCGTCGCCTCTACGTTCAAGACGGCCGTGTCATTGCCAACCCTCCCACCAACTTCCCCGGTCTCATGCCCGCCCACGACTCCATCACCGAGCAGTTCTGCACTGACCAGAAGAACCTCTTCGGCGACTACAGCAGCTTCGCTCGTGACGGTGGTCTCGCTCACATGGGTCGCTCCCTCGCCAAGGGTCACGTCCTCGCTCTCTCCATCTGGAACGACCACGGTGCCCACATGTTGTGGCTCGACTCCAACTACCCCACCGACGCTGACCCCAACAAGCCCGGTATTGCTCGTGGTACCTGCCCGACCACTGGTGGCACCCCCCGTGAAACCGAACAAAACCACCCTGATGCCCAGGTCATCTTCTCCAACATTAAATTCGGTGACATCGGCTCGACTTTCTCTGGTTACTAAACAGGGGTTTCTGTTCACATCGCTCGCGTACCTCTCTTCTACTCTAGCTCTATGTAGTGTACCTTTGCCTGTACAAGAAAACAAACTGCGCTGTGCAATGTAATTCGTTTATCCTCGCTCGCACTGGACCTTGATTGTCACAATTCATTCAAAATAACTATTGATAGTGCCAGCAGTGTAAGAGTCCAAGTTTCAACAGTATCCTACTTCTAGAATGAAGCAAAGTAAACCTTTCGCAGTTAATGGCACCCCAGTTAAAGGCGAGGAGATCCCCGTCTAAATAAGGAGTGAAGGTTGCCTCTTTTGTCGCGTTGCGCGCTTGGCGAAATGCAACCTCAACAACCTAAAAACGTTAATTTTCGACATCCACACCACTGAAATATCCCGCTATTGTGGCTAAACTTCTCACCCGCTTTCGAAGCTGATTCGCCTGGGCGGCCCAGCGCATCACTTTCCAATCATTATGGTCAAAGGTTTATGCAATGCTTCGAATTCACACAACCACAGCAGGCTTCCTATGCTCCCCGTACCAGTCTGAAATCGGGATGCAGCTACGTCGTGCTCAGTCTTGCAGTATCCACGAAATGAAGACAGGATGGCAGATCCTTCCATAGAAGTGATACTGGCGCGCGTGAGGCGTCGATTCGTATCGAGTGAGTCACCCCATTGGCAGTCGCAACCTTGGTACCCAAACTCGCATTCGACTATTCTCGACTAGCATTGGCCCTGGGTGCGCCCGATGCACTATGCGTGGAAATAACCGTGACCCTACTTCATGCATTGACCAGTTGCAAGCTGTCAATCCCCACGCCCGTTCCCATCGTCCACAGGGTTCTAGCAACGGTATTCAGGCAGCTTGGTTGCTCCTAGCTGAAGTGAATGCAATTATTCCGTTGAATGCTCAAGGCAATTCAACCCCGATCTCGAACCCCGGTCGATACGTACTCGATGTATTATTCCGCCCATTAATCTAGATTTCTGACCCATTCACATCTGGAAGCTTTTCGGTAAACGTAAGGTTCAGAAGGTTTAGATTGAATCTGACCCGCCATATAAGTCAAGCCCAGTTCACAGAGGGGTCCTGTGGTTTGATCCTTACGAGTCGCCAAGGATCGAAGCCGGAGGTGATCCAGGTTCGGAGCTTTGGTTCAATTCGTGCCGCGGAACGGCAACAGACGAGGCTCGACATAAGATTCGCCCTTGAACGCTCTGCACCGGGACTTCTAACGGTTTGAAGGATTTCGCAGTGAAATAAGCGAGTTGGCAACTTTGAGCCCGTCCCAACGTGAACCTTGGGCTCGAATGCTTGAGAAACTACCAGCAGTATATTGAACGGGGAAAGCAGGACCATGGAACGAGCTAATTGAGGGAGATAAAACAGTCAATTGCGACTGTAAATGGGGAGTTGGTTGCCGATACATTTATAATCATGCTTTTCGCACTCGTCCTGACATTTTTGGGCTGCAAGCAACTCAAGGAGCGGTCTGTCCCTGACTTTCACACTTTCAATCTCCGCACGATGGCCTATGTTTCTTGGAACTTGGCATTAATTCTGGGGTTGGAGCTAGCTCCAACGGCAACCATGATCATCTGGTATCACCGTGGTTAGCTTCTTTCGGCTGTCGGTCGAAGTACGTGAGGGCGCTCTTGACTGCCCTCAAGCACTTGTACTTGGAGATCGTGGTGCTTGGAGAAGTGTCCTTCTTGTTCTGCTTGCCCGGACTGCCGGGTTTTATCCGCCACCACAGCCTATAAAAACGCGACGAAATGGTGACGGAAAAGACCAACAACAGGAGACACGTTCTGAGCTCACAATGTTCAGCAAAGTCGCCCTCACCGCTCTCTGCTTCCTCGCCGTCGCACAGGCCCAACAGGTCGGTCGCGAGGTCGCCGAAAACCACCCCCGTCTCCCATGGCAGCGCTGCACTCGCAACGGTGGATGCCAGACTGTCTCCAACGGTCAGGTCGTCCTCGACGCCAACTGGCGATGGCTCCATGTCACCGACGGCTACACCAACTGCTACACCGGTAACGCCTGGAACAGCTCCGTCTGCTCCGACGGTGCTACCTGCGCCCAGCGATGCGCTCTCGAAGGTGCCAACTACCAACAAACCTACGGTATCACCACCAGCGGAGACGCCCTCACCATCAAGTTCCTCACGCGTTCCGAGCAAACCAACATCGGTGCTCGTGTCTACCTCATGGAGAACGAGGACCGATACCAGATGTTCAACCTCCTCAACAAGGAGTTTACCTTCGACGTTGACGTCTCCAAGGTTCCTTGCGGTATCAACGGTGCCCTCTACTTCATCCAGATGGACGCCGATGGTGGCCTGAGCTCTCAGCCTAACAACAGGGCTGGTGCAAAGTACGGTACCGGCTACTGTGACTCTCAGTGCCCTCGTGACATCAAGTTCATTAACGGCGAGGTATGTTATTGTCGAGACTCCTGACAGTCTCAGCTTTTCTAAGTCTTTCTCGACAGGCTAACAGC